ATATATATCATATAAAAACCTTTGTTTTTACTGTATATTGTTTGTAGAAGCCCTGGAAAATTGAAAGAACCACAATCCCAAATCTTCAAGCTCTTACTCATTTCGGGACTACCACAATCACAGCTAGAAATATTCATGAAGTGGAAGCATCATATAGCTTAACGGTATTCTAGGAAGCATTTTTTTTATGATTTGTCTAACTTAATACTAATAATTGTATGTTTTTACTCTTTCATTCTTTGCAGTTTGATTGTTCGATATGTATCATCCGGATGGAGGTATAATAAGCCATTTGATTTGTTATATGAAACGAAATATTGGTAAAGTAAATGATTTTTGTTTTATGCAGGAACAATTTTTCATTTTGAAGCCAAAACAATTTTTCATTTTGATTTTATACAGGTAGCAAGAACAACTGTGTTTTTTCAAATTCAACCTTGGTTATGAATTGATTCATATTTCAATTTATGTTTTTTTTTTTCCTGATTTAACACTTCATTTATGTGGAGAGTGCAAGATATTAACATGGTTGAATTCTGAAAAGGTATCAAATATGTTTATGTAGATGATTCATGGATGATATTGGTGAGATGGAATGACAAATTCCAATTCTGTTAAAATGGAATGATGAATTCCAATTTTGTTGGAATCAAAGAAGTTGATGCTTGAAGAACGGACCACATTATTCTTTTAGAATGTATTAGTCTTTGTTAGATTTTGATTTTTTCTTCCCCGTTTTGATTGTTTTTTTTAATTTTATTCTTTAACAATAAATGTAATTCCTAACAATTGTTACCCGTATTCTATAAGAAATAATGTATTTTTTGTTTTTACTCTTCAATTGATTCTTCAAGATTCTATTATTCTACAAGAAGTTGTTATTCTTCAAGAAGTTTTTAAAGTTATCATCAAGAAATAGGTTAAAGAATATTTTTATTATTTATGGATCAAGATTAATTTTATTTTTGAATGTACTCATAAACATATTCTATCAGAATGTCCGAATTAAAAGAATTATAATTCGTAAAATCGGATTTTAAAATTAACAGAATCTATGATCCCTCAAAAATGCAATTTTCCTTTATTAAATCTATATTAATTGACCAAATTACCCTTGTAATTAATTAAGATGATTTTTCAATTATATTTAATTCAATAATATATATTAATCACTTTCTTAAAATAAGTAAATTTGATTGGCCCACATTTATGTATACAATAACACAATAGATACTTTAAACAAAATAACCTAAGCCTATATATATATATATATATATATATATATATATATATATATATATATAGGGAAAAGTGAATATACATTACAGCCCCACCTAAGCTTAGGTACAAAACCTCATTAAAACACACTGTTTTACTATATAAAGATTGCGGTTAAGGGATTCACGATTAACACTTGATGATGTAGATTCAAGATAGACGAAATAGTTTTCATAAGGAAACAAGAATATTGATTATCTTCGATATTCGTGATAGTGGAAAAAAGTAATGTTTACTGGGATGAAGTAATAAACGATAATTAAGGAAAAAAACGAGGATGGTAAAACGATAACAGAGGAATGAAATGTTATCAAGTATGATATATTTACCAAGTGAAAACCAAATCGGGTATATTTATTAAGTTTAAACGACATATTTTATAGATTTAGTATCTAAGCTTAGGTGAGGCTGTAATGTATATTCTCTATCCACACACACACACACATATATATATATATATATATATATATATATATATATATATATATATATTGGGAAAAGAGAATATATCCTGAAGGATATATAAGGTTAGGTACCCAATTTACAAAACTACATAGTTTTGATTATTGGATTGATTTTCTGAAGAAAAAAAATACAATTTCTATAAATGATTTGTTACGTTCCTAATTAGACTCGACTACTGATAACATAAAATCACGTCTTCCTTGATCGCTTGATGATCGACTGGTTTTCACACAAAAAAAAAATCAGAGAAATCGAATTCAAAGACAAAAAATATTGAATTAAAAGAATCTCCATTCAAAGGAAGAACAATTCTAAAGAAATCGATTCCAAAAAAAAGAAAACAAAAACAACCTAGTGATTTCGAAATTCACTAATAACAATTTCATTCAAATTGGAATTCAATTCAGGGAGTTCTCAGAAATCACAACTCATAAGAAATTGGGTTTGATCAAACCTTCAAAAACTACAAATCGCAACATACTTGTTTTTTCTTTCAATAGCACTTCCAAGTAAGTCATTGATCTCATGTTTTATAGCCTATGTTATGTGTATCTGATTAGTAAATACCAACAATGTGAACTATTTGTGAAGTTTAAAAGTTTGATTTTTTATTGTCAATTGGAATAGGTTGTAATCTATTTTAATAACTAATTTTTTTAAAGAATTGTTTGAACATTGGATGAGCTCTTTTACACCTGCATCAAATCTGATGAAAATGTATTACTTTTCCAGTGTATTTAACTTTTGAAGTTCTTTATTCTCAGTTCTCATTTGTATTTAAAATTGAAAATTGGCTGCCATTATGTGATTTAAACGGAAGTATGATGCTACAAAAACTACAAATCCCCTGTGTTTTGGTTAAGAGTACTTCCAAGTAGTTTTTCAAAAACTGACATTGATATGATAATTAAAGTTTTTCAGAATTTAATATTCGAGATTATTGTTTACAGTGTTCTTTATTACCTGATGAATATTTATTTGTTCATGGATTTTAGAAGTGACATTGTTGTTTTTAGAGATTGTTATTGGGTCATTATGCTACTAGTTGTTCAAAAAGAAATGTAAGTATAGTAATAATTTAACTTTCATGATTAAGAACTCTAATAATTATATTAACAATTTTTTTATCTTTTTCACGTATCACATGGATGAATGGTTGCAAGAGACATATTGATGAGATGTGTTGTTTATGTGAGCAAAAGAAAAACTAGATGCTTCATGATATTTTTTGGTTAACTGCACATTTTTCATGTTTTAGAGACAATTGATGTGTGAATAATCTAGAAGTGGTTGATGCTTCTTACCAATTTTTAAATTTATTGAATGAATTTGTTGATTGTTTAAAGATTTGTGTTTATAAGTGAAATTTGGCTGCCCCTATGTGTTTCGAATGAAAGTATTATGACACTTTGGGTTAAAAATGCAACTTTTCTGTAATTATAGGTTAGAAATAAAAGTAGGCTATCATTTTTGGTAATTGCAAATTTTTTGCAATTATACGTTTAAAATGAAAGTTGGTTGTAATTTAGGGTTAAAAATATAATTTCTTCTGAAATTTTAGTTAAAAATTCAAATCATATGTTATTATAGGTTAAAAATTAAAGTTGGCTATCATTTTGGGTTAAAAATGCAATTTTTCTATAATTATTCGTTAAAAATGAAAGTTGTTTATAATTTAGGGTTGATAATGCAACTTTTTTGCAAATTGGGTTGAAAATGCAACTTTTCTGTTATTATAGGTTAAAAAATAAAATTGGCTGTCATTTTGGGTTAAAATGCACTTTTTCTTTAATTATTCGTTAAAAATGAAAGTTGTTTGTAATTTTGGGTTGAAAATGCAACTTTTTCTGCAAAGTGGGTTAAAAATGCAACTTTTCTGTTATTATAGGTTAAAAATAAAATTAGCTATCATTTTGGGTCAAAATGCAATTTTTCTTTAATTATTCGTTGAAAATGAAAGTTGGTTTGTAATTTAGGGTTGAAAATGCAACGTTTTCTGCAATTTGGGTTAAAAATGCAACTTTTCTGTTATTATAGGTTAAAAATTAAAGTTGGTTGTCAATTTGGGTAAAGAATGTAATTTTTCTACAATTATTCGTTGAAAATGACCTTGTGTTACCCAATGCTTGTAGTCTAAAATCTAAATCATCATGTGTAAACCTCAAATGGTAGCATATGATTAGGGCCTCAAAATAATCTAATTCTTGCATAACAATATCCCTTTCACAAATATGAAATTCATTAATGTCTAATAAACTAATAAAACATAGTTGACCATCTACATACTTAGTGCTTGGGAATCTTGTGAACTTATCATCGTGATAGAGTTCAATTGAAAGAATGGTGGGATGAGCATTCATACAAAGTAAACAAAAAATTACAAAGATGTATTATTCACGATGCATAGTACCATTGATAACAAACCACATATATCAATGTAGTTACAAAAAACAGAGTAACTAAGTGTAGATAAAATTGACGTCAAAATGATAGTTCAAAGTTCTAATCGTCTACAATGTAAGTACCATTTTCCTTATATTAAGAAACGAACATTTTACCATGATTGTAAATCTGTAATCTGTAATATAAAATAGAAGAGAGAAAATATTGAAAAGATAAAAATACCCTCATATGAGGAGGGTACATGTTTTAATTACTAGAAGAAATCATACATGATTTGAATGTACAAACTAAAATCATAATGAAGCCATTCCCAAATGGTGTTTTTTAAAACAAAAAACCTGCAGAAAATGTGAAGAATCTCAATTGCAACTTTTCTATAATTTTTGGGTTAAAAATGAAAGTAGGCTGTCATTTTGGGTTAAAAATGCAACTTTTCTGCAATTTTTGGTTTAAAAATGTAAGTTGTACATGTCCATGATTTTGTTAAGTTTTGTGTTAATCTAAACACAAGTTTTATGGGTTTTCACTTTGTTGGATGGATTTGCCCCTATCCCAAAGATAGTATGTAATCCTCAAGAACTTAAGATTATAAACAATATGACCAAATGCAAAGAATCTGAATTGCCAATTTTGATTAAAAATTATAAGTACATAACTATATCGGATAAATATGAAAAGTGGGTTGCTATTTCAGCTTACTCCAAAAAAAAAAACTTTTATTCTATACATTTTCTCTCAACATATACATGGTCCATTCACTATACAACACCCCAAGATTTTTCTATACTTCCTACAATTTTTCCATTGCTTCAAGTATTCCCATTAATTCTCCAACAAAGATTCTCAATAACAATCAGTACTGATAAAGCACACAGATTTTGCTTTTGAGCATCTTTATAGCACTATGTATTCCCATCAAGTGAGTAGCCACTACACAAAATGAATATCAATATTAAAATGTTAATTTAAGATATTAATATTACCTAATTTAAAGTATAATTTGACATCAATAGAAACAGGTGTGATTATATGTTATTTCATACCATTTTCTCAATTCTCTATTGTAGGCCCCATTAATTTCATATATCTTGGTCCATCATATGACAATAGTATTTAACGGATCATGCAAAACTAATCAATAATAGGGTATTTCTAGGCATTCTTGACAATCTTGGATAGAGCAGTTTGGACAAGATCAAGGCCACAAACATCTACAAGCTGAACCAGATACAACAAACATCAGAGATTTCTTGGGCTGTGGTACTGATCCTAGTTCCCCTACCAGCCATCAATCCATTAGAATCACTAAACATCTAATCATTTTCATGTAATATACTTGCTAAAATGGTTAAAACATATTTAAGATAATTGAATACATATGATATCGATTGGAAGTTTTAACTAATTACCAAAGCTAAAAAGAGATTTCTTGGGTTGTGGTACTGATCCAAGTTCCTTACTTTAGCAAACTCGGCAAGCCTAGCTCTGAGTTCATCCAGTGAAGAATCCTTGAGCTTTCTTCAAAGCTTCTGGAGATTCTCCATATTCAAAGCTCCTGTGTGTATTATATGCTACTTCTACGCTTCTATTTACAGGCAAACTCAACATGTTAGCATGTGAGAGAAAGAAAGGGGCGCAGCTTAAAACAGAAT